CTAGAACTCCTATAAATTTACTCAGTACATGTGGATTAATCATTCCTCCTCTTTCTTATATAAGGTCACTGCCGCCATGGTCATGGTGGTGGTTGGTGGTTGGGTAGTGGTGGCCCTACCAAACTTGCCATACCAGCCGGTAAATCAGGACCGTCAATAAATGGTCTGTTCTTGATAGATCAACATGATCAGTTACAGTTACAGTTACAGTGTGTGTTTTTCTCAGTTTGGGGAATTATTTTCTTTATTTCTTTTGAGCATCTTTATGGAGTTATAGAATTAGGGTATCTGCTGGCTTTGCTTTGCTGTAATGGCCCAGTACATTATTGCCATTCTTGCGCAAGCATATAGACAGAGACATGCACTGTATGTGGTTGTTTTCTCGCAATGTTCCATCAGATATTATTTCCAAATGCAGTACAAAAATAATGCAAGTGAAATTATTCCTCTTCCAAGGAAGAATTCAAGTTTTTACATCAATAACAAAATAAAAAATTATCAGAATTCATGATCTTGTCTTAGAAAACTCCATAGAATGTTTAGAAGAGAGGGTTAGATAGACGAGTATTCAATTATGTACCAATTATTGTCAGGGCCGGTCCTGTGATTTTAGGGGCCCGAGGCGAACTCCATAAATTGGGCCCTCCAAAATCAACGTAACAGTATGTTATGCAACGTATTACTAAATTAAAACTTAAGAGTGGAACAACAAACAAATATAAAGAACAAAAGATTTATAGTATAAAAAAATAAAATCGACAAGAGTTCAAACAATCAGTTAAATACAATTCGTCTCGCTGTTTTAGAGGCGAAAACATTAATCAAATCTGAATAATTTAACTATTCAATCATATCTTTCTCTATTGATAACATAGCCAATCCATTCAATCTTTCTTGTGNCAAAATCCAACAGTGCATTGTGCAACGTATTGCTAACTTAACACTGAAGAGTAGAACAACAAACAAATATAAAGAACAAAAGATTTATATATATTATAAAGTAACAAAACCAAAAAGAGTTCAAACAATCAGTTAAATACTATTCGCCTTTTAGGCTACAATAATCATTCATATAAGCCAACCAGGCCACACTTATATAAGCCCATAAGGCTTCAAACATTTTCAATATATTCAATATCAAGTTAGGGCAAACTATTGCTTACTTGAGAAGTAGAATTTCGACGAAAATTATGGAATCACACTCTTGAGTATTCCACTGTCACATCTAACAAGCCTGAAATCAAAATTTCACATTAACCATGGCACCAATACAAAGTCTTAAGCTATGAAATTTATCCTTTTTAATCAATAAAAAGTAAAAAAACATTTTGCCCTTTTAAAATTAGTCAAATAATCATCTAACACTGTAAAAGCACGTCGGAACAAGCTTCAAACTGATATTCATGTGGCAAAATTAGTCAAATAATCGCCCTTTTAAAATTTCAAGAAAGGCACTTATTTTCTAAATCAATCTCTAAAGAACAGTGGGAGAAGAGGCTTCAAACTTATATTCATATGGTAAAACAAGCTTTGTGTGAGACTCTATCCCTTTATAAGTCCTACAATAATTTGCCTGATTCAGAGCCTTGTCCAATCCAACCATATCCAAAAATTGCCCAAGTCATCTCAAACAAAATCAGT